GAAAACCTGGATTAGAAAACAATTTGGGGCGGGTGGGGGAGAAAGGAGCCCCACTTTGGGATTACAAGGGGCGGCTGCAAATTCAGCCTTGGAAATACCCGCCAGCCCAAAGTGTTTTCTGTGTAGGGGACACACCGAGCTTTTCTTCTTTGAAACACAAAACTTGGTAGCCAAGTTTACTCTGAAGTAATGCCACTGCATTCACGCTGAAGGTGTGTAGCTGTGGAGTTTGCTTCCAAGTGAGGCTGGGGAGTGATTACTCGAAAGTAAAGCTAAGGATCACAACAGAACAGATTGGCCAAGAAGAACAAAAACCCTAAACCTGTTTTGCAGGAATAAAATCCCACCAGGGATGGGACGTTCTTACAATTAGATTGGCCTAAAAATACAATAAAAATGGAAATCTTAGGATGTCGTCCTGAATGTGCTTATTCGGGAGTGACTTCTCAGGCAAAGTACATAAAACCAGGTTATAAAGATGACAACTGTAAATTCACAGTTGGCCTTGCTCTTCCAGCTAAGGTATGGTGGGGATGCCAAACCCTTTCCGGCTTTACGGGGTTGTGAAATCTCTCCCCCCCCCCCATGCATATATACCTATGTATGTGTACACACAAAAACATACATATTTACATGCAGACATATACTACATGCATACATAGTAGAGAAAGAGAAGGAATATAAGAATATTAATCCATTAATTTTCATTTTTGTGGATCAATTCAACAAAAATCATCACATTTACTTCCCATAATCGTTTGGGCTCACACCACCAATCCTTCATTCACTTCTGTTGCATTATACTGTTAAATGAAATAAAAATGACGCTTACTTATAAGTTAGTTAGTTGAACTAATGCTACTAATATTCTATTGTTAGGCATTTTGCAGGGACGGTTTCCCACCATTCTTCTTTTTTAAAAAAACTGGCTAGAATGGACCGAGATCAGTTTGAGATTTTAAGGGACACTGGCTTGGATTTGGGAAGCAGGAATTCAAATCCCAGCCCAGACAGATTGCAATGTTTTGTTCTTTAAACCTTTGGCCTGACAGCCTCTTTGAATTTTACCTATTTCACATCGCTGATTCTAAGGATATTTTAGGGGACCAGACTAAGCTTTTAGGAACCTCTTCTAAGCTTCTTTGGAGCAAAATGAAAATATAATCAATCATCACCCTCTCTCTATCTCATTGCCAGCTTTCACATTTCCAGCCGAGCTGATACAGAAAAAAGGTTGGCTTTCCATTTTTCACACTTTGATGATTCAGTTGGAACCCGGTTTTCCATTAGAAGTTTGATATTGCCCATTAAAAATTAGCCTCCCCCCCCCCTTTCCAAGACTGCTGGGAAAACCCTCGGATCCAGCCTTTGTGCTCTGGAAGATGACCAACTCAGTGACAGAAGTGATCAAACAACCGCAGCACCCCTGAACGGAAGTCCCCTTCATTTGCTTTAGGACCAGCAGGCTGCCTGGCGTCCAAATAATTACGCTAAAGCCGTCCGCGTTTAAAATAGGCTCAACTGGGCTCAGTAGGACTTACTTCCAAAGAAGAGCGCGTTCACACGGGACGCTAAGCTACTACGCAGGTTGGCCGGTCGCTCCTGGTCAAGCAGGCCGTTCCGCTGGCTTTCCCGCGCCTTCGTTTCAAGTCTCTTAACGTTTCCGAACCCTTCCGATTTGGGAAGGCTCGGAGGAAGTGCGCGCTCAGGAGGGGGTGTCTTTGGACTCGACAGCCCGCCTTCGGCTTTTGACACCCCATCCCTGTCCCGAGGGGGCGTGGCTCTTTCCTCTTCTCGGGGAAGGGGCTAGGCGCGCGCAAGCCAGCCGGGGGCGGCTGGTTAGAGCGCAGCCAGGAAAGAGAGTCCCGGGATCACGTGGGGGAGAGTTGAAAGGTGAGGTGTTGCGCGTCCCCACCTCCGCGTCAATCGGACGCTTTCTCCCTCCGTCTGGGGCCCGTTCTGCCCTGTCCACCCCGGGAAGTCTGGAGGCTTCCCGCCCCCTCTCCCCGATCTTAAACCGAGGGACGGTTCCAGGGGCTTCGAAAAGAGATTGTGCCACCCAGTGCTTTAAATGACACGCGCATAACCAAAGCAGGTTAAAAGGCTTTCGTCTGCATTTATCACGTTGTCCTATGGGTTTGCGCGCTTTTCGTCTCGCTCCCTTTCTTATTTCCCCCCCGCTCATTTTTTAGAAAGTGGGCCCATCAAGCCGGGAAGAACTGCCTCATCTCCTGTTCATATTTGAAAAGAACACGGATCTTATTTGCTTCGGCGGTTGCGCACCGTTCACATGAATGAGGATGAAATAACCCCCATCGGCATTCTATTTTTACTCTCTCTTGGCGATGTTTTATTCATCGGCAGGACTCAGAGAGGGGAAAGTTCAACCGTCTTTACGAACGTGCAACACTGGAGGGGCAGGAGCGGGCAAGGCCCAGCCAAAGGCCGGCCCCTCGAAGCCCCTGCCCCGCTGAATTGCCGCGAGGCTGGTTTCAGCGGGCCGGCGCCTCCGAGAGATCTTAAGCGGGGCTTGGAGAGGCGGACTCTGCCGGGGATAACTCTGCGGGCCCGGAAAATGGCCCTCGGCCGCTATTTCCCGTGTGGGGAACCTGGGGGGGAGGAGTCCTTAGTCTTGGTCGTGTGCCTGAGGTAGTCGCTTAAATACGACCTCCCCCGCCCCCCTTTTAACTCCTTGGCTCCTAACGCAAAATATTAGCTTACCAGAAACACAGATATGCACACACTCACTATATACAGTACACACCACACACACTATACAATACCCACATACGTATACACTATGCAGGTATATACATATACACAGACACAACTATATTTCACACTGTTAACTGTGAACATATGAATATTATGTATACACACATATGCATACATTTATTATACACTCATACACACAACCTACACACCCAGACATATGCACACACTATGCACACACTGTATATATAACGCACATGTGCATATATGTACACACACTATGCACCTATGTACATATACATTTTTCATACTATCGCTCAGTGTACATACATTACTGTGCATATACTCACTATACCCCCATATACACACACTATACACTACATACACTATACATGCACACTTATATGTGCAGAGACTATGCGTGCACACACATACACACATAATATCTATGTAGAGAGAAATATTACACATCTCAGCCTTTCTTTCCCTGGGTCCCTTCCCCCATCCACCCCCCCCCCCCACTCGCTTCCTATCTCTGCCTCTTCCACAGGTCTTTGTAGAAATGGGGGAAGTAGATTCGAAGTCTTGAGCCTGTAGGGCCTGCCTCCCTCCCCCTCCCTCCCTCCCTCCCT